GGACACTTTCATCGCTTCCTAGGAAGCGATGAAAGTGTCCAATTTCAGTTTTTTGTGTATAGCTATACACAAAAAACTGATGAAAATATTTTTATTGCGATGTTTATGTACTTAAGTTTAATAAACACTTTTAAACAAAAATAATTAACAATAATCTAGAGAAGCTGTTTAAAATTATTATTTTTTGACAGGTGACAGATTTTGACATTTGATTTTTTTACGAGTCATACATCATTTAGAATGGGTCTTGGTCAGGAATGCCAGAATCTGTCAAAAAAAACCGCTAAATTTTGTTTGAATGCACCTTAATTACAAAAATGACACATTGATACAATGCAAATTGTCAATTTGACGTTATTCATCATTGTTAATTGTGTCATTTTTATTTTAAGGTGCATTTAAACAAAATCTAGCGGTTTTTTGACATATCCTGGCATCCCTGGTCTTGGTCAAGTTTAATAATCGTTTTGATGAAAATAGCATGCTTAAACACATAATAATATTTTTATTTTAAATTAGTTTTTTGTGTCTAGGAACCGGTGGAAGTGTCCAATTTCGACAAAAATTTGGAATTCTCTCCAAAATTTTACAAGCTTAAAATGATGTATCACTCGTAAAAAAAATTTAAATGTCAAAATCTGTCATCTGTCAAAAAAAATGCACAGTTCTCTAATCGATAGATTTTCTTTTTCTGATTTCAAAAATATATGGTTTGTTGTAAGGCTGGGAATCGATTACGAATAATTCGAATATTCGAGTATTCGAATAGAGGTGGAAATCAATTATAAATTATTCGAATATTCGATTATTTGTTGTTGCTTTGAAATACGTTTTTAAAGGCTATATAACAATTATAATAATAGAAATAATAATAATATGCAGGGTGTCCCGAAATTAGGGGGACAAACTTAAACACTGCATTTTCCATATGCCTATAATGGCATTTTCATAGAAAAGTAACACTTTTTTGTTAAATAAACATATGTTTATTTAACAAAAAAGTGTTACTTTTCTATGAAAATGCCATTATAGGCATATGGAAAATGCAGTGTTTAAGTTTGTCCCCCTAATTTCGGGACAAAAAATGCCCCCTAATGGAGCTACGGTTCCCTGAGTAGGAGCCTAAGAGAATAGTTTTTTTTAAACTATTCCTAGAGCGTTAAACATGAAGAAATGAAATTTTGGCACAATTTTTAGATGCTGAATCAAGATCTAAGATCAAAACTGTTAAAATTTAATCATAGGCGTAACATTGGGGGGGAAGGTTATAAAAATAGCCACAACTTTTTTCCGAGATAATATTTTTTTTTATGAAATTATGAATTATAGTTTTTTACAAAAAATAGGTACTCTTGATTTGAATCGCTCAGATGCACCATTTTCGAGAAAAATGCATTTATAAATTACCCTGCATAATAAAAAATAACAAAAATCGAGCCAGAAAATATTAACTAAACTATAAAAATAAATGTAAAGTCAGCAAATAACCCAAACGTCACTTTTGTCCCAAAGCTTTTTAATGAAAATATTACAAATTATGCAATTTTCTCGAAAATGGTGCATCTGAGCGATTCAAAGCAAGAGTAAGGGGCCGTTTATAAAATACGTCACGCAAATTTTGACCTTTTTTGACCCACCCCTCCCCAAGTTGTCACAGGTTGTTACGTTTAATGACACCCCCCTAAATAAATTATGTCACAAATTGCAACTCCCCCCCCATTTAAAACAGGATGTACCCATTTAAAACAGGATGTACCTATTATTATTTCTTATAAGAAAAAAAAATTTCTGGCAAGTTTTTAAATTATAAAAACCGAACCAGCGTTACGTAACAGTTGATGTAACCCCCTCCCCCCTATCAGCGTGACGTAATTTATGAACGGCCCCTAACTATTTTTTTTGAAAAACTATACATTTTCTTAATTTTATAACAAAACATTAAAATACTCACTCTGAAAAAAGTTGGGGCTGTTTTTGTAAATTTGCCCCCCCCCCAAAATGTTACGCCTATGATTAAATTTTAACAGTTTTGATTATAGATGCAGATTCAGAATGTTAAAATTACCAAAGTACCAAAAATTCGGTCTTCAAAAAAGTGCTATTTTTCTAAAAAGAATGCACTGTTTAAGTTTAACCCCCTAATTTCGGGACACCCTGTATTGTTATAGCTTAAATTTAAACCACGTCTTTAAAAAATAAATAAAAAAGTAAATTTCCCACGCGAAACGTAAATCTAACATGTCGGTTATCATATCATATGATGACGAAAATACGCAGAATAAGAATTGGAAATTGACAACTTTTATTTTTATTTCTTATTTTCGTGAGCATAAAGTAATGTTAGTAATTATAAAGTAAAGTAAAGTAAAGTAAAGTAATTTATTAGTCTGATAATGTTACAGCATAAATACATGTAATTATATACTTAACAAAATATGGACATCGTCAAAGTTTATAAACGTGGAATAAGTCTAAAAGAACATACATTTTAATCATTTAAAAACTCATTTAAAGAGTAATAGGTTCTGTTTATTAAAAATTCTTTTAATTCTCTATTAAATTTGTTTTTGTTGTAGTTAGCAAATTTTTTATTTAATTGGAGAAGTTTTTTCATGCAGAGTATCCCTGCATAATCAGGGTTTTTTTCTGATACCTTTAGTCTCGCAATAGGTTGTATTGTATTGTTTTTGTACCTGGTATCATAACCGTGGACATCTTCTTTTGGTAAGTGGGGTTTGGACTTGATATATGTTAATAATGAATAAAGATAGAGTCCAGTGAGAGTTAGGATTCCTTGTTCTCTATAACATTCCCTGCAAGATGATCGTTTGCTTAGTCCGAACATATATCGTAGTGCTTTTTTTTTTGTATTGTAAGAACCTTAGCCACTTCCGTAGCTTGCCCCCACAATAAAATGCCGTAGTTCAATCTTGACTGAAATAGACCATAGTATGCCGTTTTTAGTACTTCGGTCGAAACTGTATTTTTAAGATTTTTTAAAAGGTAGCAAGAGCTGTTAAGTTGTGATATTAATTTATTAATATGGGTGGAAAATGTTATTTTTTGATCCATGTGGAGACCTAAAAATTTTGTACTTGGGCTAATTGGGATTGATTTATTGTTATGTTTTATAAGAGGATATTTATTAATAGATGCGTTGGATGGGAAAATCTGCATAGCCATGGTCTTTTCTGTGTTAATTTTAAGCTTTTTCCTGATGGCCCACTCTGTGACGATTTTAATACATGCATGCGCCTTTTTCCTCAGGTCATCAATGCAGGGCCGGCTCCAGGGTACGTGCAGCCGTGCCCCTGCACGGGGCGGCAAAAATCGAAGGGCGGCAAAAATTAAAGAGGTGCACAAACCGAATAGCGGCAAAATTCGAACGGCGTCAAAAATCGAAAGGCGGCAAAAAGTTATAGAACTATTATTTCCCATTTTTAAATAAAAAAGCGGCTTTCTTTATAATAGAGCCGACAAAGGATCAATGGCACGCGCCGCAATGTGCGGTTTTTTTGATTTATCAGGATTTTGCTTTGTTTTTAGGCAAACTTATAAATTATTTTAGTTGATATTGAACTTCTTTGTGCAATTGTACACTACCTATTCGAAATTTAATAATTTGAAAAAATAGACATTTTCGAGGACATTTTGTTCCCTGTGGTTGTGGTATTTACATTGTGCTGGGCTTTTTGTGTGTGTTTTAAGGTAGGTATTTATTCACATTTTATAAAAAATTAATATATCACATCATGCATCCTTTTAATAAAAAATAATAATTAACAAATAAATAATTCTCATAAATAATGCTACAACTGGATAACTAGAAAATTTACGAATCCAGTTCTACTAAATACTTACATAGGTACCAATTTTAAAATATTTTTATTTATAAATGTGTTTTTCCAGATATCTAATTGTAGCATCAAGGGGACGATATTACACTGTTTAAAATAGCTGTGGTGTAAAGGGTAATCTAAAAATGGTGTCTAAATCCAACACCAAGTGGTGTTAATATATGTTATATAAACCCCATGAATTATGTTTAAAAATGTTATATACAGCAAACACCAAAACGGTGTTTATATAAAAATATTTTATCCTTTCGAACTACTGAGAAGTACACTTTACACCTAGTATGATTTAATTTGACCAAGAACACATAATATTTAACACTAAAAAGGAGTTCAATTTACACTATTTTAGTATTTGAAATTACACTGGACCAACGAACCATATTTAACACCATTTTGGTTAGTATCGATATAGACCATGTATGGTGTTAATTTGGTGTTAAAATGGTCATGAAATTTTGAACAGTGTATCTAATTGTAGCATCAAGGGGACGATATTATTTAGGTATACCTATAGTTATAGGTACTATAGTTTTTTTTTTAGAAATTATACCTTATTAATTGGGCACTAAAAAGTAGGTAACTATGAGGGGCGGCAAAAATTTTTTGCACGGGGTACCGCAATGTCTGGAGCCGGGCCTGCATCAATGTTCCCCGCAGCAATCAGTACATTAGTGTCATCCGCGTAGAGTACTGGAAGTCCTATGTCTTCCAGTAGTCCAGGCAGCGAATTTATAAAAATATTAAACAAGGTAGGAGATAGGCATGACCCCTGCGGTGTGCCTATGTCTGTATATTTTGTATCCGAAATTGTATTATTTATACTCACAACCTGTAGTCTATCTGATATGTATGACATAATCCAATCAAGGGGAGTGCCCCTGATACCAATGTCATGAAGTTCATCGGCTAGTATATCATGATTTATAAGGTCGAAAGCGTTTAACATTTATTTCTTATTTTTAGCGAGCATAAATTCACCTTAAAATGTGCCGGCCATGTTTCCAGTTCGCATCAAACATTTGTCAACAACTTCCGCAAAAACTGGATCAATAGCTATTTATTTGCCTTACCTAGGTAATGCAAATAAATAGCAGTATACTACTGGCCACTACTAAAGAGTATTAATAAATAAAAATAACTTACCAAAGCAAATAATCTAATCACTTTAATAAAGCTTCAACTCAACTTGTAAAGAGAATGGCCGAGAATGGCCCACCCAACACCACAGATCAGTAGCTACTGACGCGGGAACGTTAACGTTGCGCATCACAACGAACATTGCCGAGTTCGGACGGTTCGCTAGGGCGCGTCGTTTGATTTCAGGGATTATTTATTTCTCTATTGAATTTCACATACATATGTATCTCTAAATTATTTAAACATATTAAGTGAAAACTTACATTTATTGCATTAAAAATATTATAGGACAAATTAAATAATTTAAGTGGAGAAATTTCTCCAATGGTATTTTTAATTCGTATTATACATTTCTCATATAATATTATTAATTCAAATTATTAATTTGGCCAATGTGATATTTTTTATTTAACAAATTAAAAATATAATATACCTAATATATATAATATAATTAAAAATAATTTTTTAAAATTTGTAATGATATTTTTAATGCAATGAATTAATTAATTTTACAAGATATTTTTAAATAAGTTAGAGATATGGAAAATTGAAATTGCTAAAAATACTTGACAACTAAAGACACATATAAGTGAAAAAAAATTGACAACTTTTTTTTTAAATCTTTTATCGTGCTTGATTAAGGAGTATTTTTAATAAAAAACAAGGTGTAATTTTTTTTCACTTAGACCCGGGTCGCGACCAGAAAACCGATGGACGTCCTGAGGCCTAGGCCTATGGACGTCCTAAGGCCTAGGCCGATGGACATCCTGAGTACGTCCATCGGTTTTTTGCCTGCGACAATAGTTGAAGATACAAGTTGATATATCACCCTTTATAAAGGCCTTTATAAAAGGGTGATATATCAACTTGTATCTTCAACTATTGTCGCAGGCAAAAAACCGATGGACGTACTCAGGATGTCCATCGGCCTAGGCCTTAGGACGTCCATAGGCCTAGGCCTCAGGACGTCCATCGGTTTTCTGGTCGCGACCGTCTGTAAAGGATTTAAACCGGATGTCCTCAGGACATCTTGTGCTATCTGGGAGGACGTCTATGGGTTATCTTGTGCTATCTGGGTTATAACTTCCAGAATATCAATATAATGTTTAATTAGGCAGGTAAATTTATAAACCCTTTAAATTTTACTGTTGAACTTATGAATTTAGTTTTTGTAAAATAAATGCGCTTCATCAATATTTAAGTATACAGAAATTATTTATTTAATAATGTTTAAAAATAAAAAAATCTTAATTATCCTATCCTATTTATTATTAATTTTTTTATTTAATTATTAATACCGACTATTACCAACAAAATTACTATTTATTTAAAAGTAAACAACCATTTACAAACAATTAAAATAATTTATTATTTACATTACCACGTGGTACTGTACAGTAAAAAATTGCCGATAAGAAGCATTTTCCTTTGAAGTAGTTTTCGCTACTTTAAAGTTTTTTTCACTTTACGGTTGTTTTGGTTAGTACCATAAACGTTCCAAATACTAAAATAATAACTTTTAAGTTATTAACTTTGTAGTTTTTAACTCAGGGACTACAAAGTAAAAATAATTATAATGTAATCTTTAGGTAGCAACCGAAAGTAACTGCTACAAATTAAATTTACTTGAAAGTTTTTTTTACTTATAACACGTGTACAAGGTACCTTTTTTAAAGTTGCAAAGTCTTCTTGAAGGCAACCAAGTTTTACTTAAATGTTTATTACTTTATAGTAACCATTTAAGGAAAAATTAAGTTTCTGTTACAAAATATTGCTATTTAAAAGTTAAAATTACTTTTAAGTAAAAATTAAAGTAGCTGTTTAGTATACTTAACTAATTTAAAGTTATCACCACTTTGGCAATGGTTTTGGAACCAAAAATGCTGCTTGGGAGGTAGGTATATAGTTTTACCATTAATCAATTGATTTAATCAATTTGATTAAGGTAGGTACCTACCCAACCCTATTCCTTTACTCAACGGTTTTACACTAAATTTATGTCGCTTATAGTGCAACGCTGTCATTGCATTGCAAATAAATACTGATATTAAATATAGAAAATGCGTATCGATATTTTGTTTTAACTATATATATATATAGGTAGGTAGGTATTTAGTTTTACCATTGATTTAATCAATTTGATTAAGGTAGGTACCCAACCCTATTCCTTTACTCAACGGTTTTACACTAAATTTATGTCGCTTATAGTGCAACGCTGTCATTGCATTGCAAATAAATACTGATATTAAATATAGAAAATAGTAAGAAGAGAAAATTATAGAAAAAAGTATTATTTTATTATAGCTGGTGTTGTAGGAAATAAATTTAAATATACCGCCGACGTGATGTCGGTAATGTAGGTATCATTAACAGATAGAAATTAATAACATGGCGAAGCTGTAGTGATGGGTCCAACCCGCACATTCTTGTGTGCTAGCACACGTTGCTTATGTTCTGTGCGTTGCACAGCACACTACAGTGTGCGGCACTGTGCGTGTCGTACATTTGTGCGGGGTGGGAGAAAATGATTCAAATTGAGAATCTCGCACGTTGCACAGCTCAGCACACTGTGCGTGTCGTATCCAACTGTCGGTTTTGGATTTTTAATTGTTACAATTTAATTTTTATATAATTATAATATAGACTGTGTTGCCATCTATGGACATCACGATACATTATGGATTGGATATTTTCCAATATATGTATACAAACTGTTAATTATATAAAATAATTTCTTTACAACTTGTAACCACATACTTCCACACATATACAAATCATTTCTAACTGAGACTGTTTCCATTTCGTGGGGGTAAAGTAGGAGAAATGTTCTCACAGGGTAGCGGGCATTGAGGCGCATGCGTCAGCTGCATTGCCGGTTTAAAAAAAAATAACATATTTTTGTCCCTATTTAAGAAGTATAATGAATACTTTTTCATAAATTGGATGTAAATTGTATGAAAAAAGCATTTAGGTAACAATAATAAACTCACAAAATGATGATATTTTAGATTTTATAATGGCATTTTTATAAAAAGCAAAAATTTGGCAACATCGTATTTTGATCACGATTATAGCCAAAAGATTTTTATGGTAGACATATAAATATGTAGATGGTTATTATAATTATCAATTTTGTTTGTTTTCTGTTGTATACCAATTGTTTTGGCATTGTTTTTTCCATTGTTTTAACGAGATTTTAGTGGATTTTACATAATATGCATATTATGCCACTTTTTGCTTTTTATAAAGCCAAATCACAAAAATGTTTGTAAGCTTAACCCAGGCTATGGAACCAAATAATTTAGAAAATTTTATATAACCTAAATTTTGTTTAGTTGACAATTCGTATCATAAATGGACGTATTAATTTCTCTATCTAATGTTATGTGATGTCTATGGTATCATATATTTTATATATACGCATAAAGGAAAATGGCACACTACGAGAACAAATTTCCCCTTAGAAACGGGAACAAGGTCATCTATACAAAATATAGGCAATAAGCGGTATATAATATGTGTAGAAGTATGTGCTTGTAACCATATACTTACCACAAGTATATGCTTGAAACCTATTGTAGTGCCATCTATGTGTTCTGTGCTGAATCATAGAGTCAAAGCCACAGACGTAAAGATTCTTTACTAAAGAGCCAAGGTTAGATAAAGAGCAGTGCTGTTTCAGCGCACCGTGCCACATATGATAAAGGTGCCTTTTTTATCTCTGGGTGCTATGTACTGGTAGCACAGTTAAAAAGTCGTACCAGCTCCGCACACACAAAAGTGTCGTACATTATGTACGACTCGCACATGTGCGACCCATCACTACGAAGCTGAGTTCTTGTGGCTTGGGCTGGTCTATTTGTGTCTGTTTAGAGCTGTGTTTATCTAATCTATGGATGTGGAGCTGTATTTAATACTTCTAAATTAAAACGTAAGTAGACAGATTGTTTTATTATAGGATTATAGGATTATAGGTAGTTCGTATTGTATACCTAAATGAAGAAGATGAAACCAACCTAAATGAAGAACAGGAAACCAACATAAATGAAGGACAGGAAACCAACCTAAATGAAGGACAGGAAACCAACCTAAGTGAAGGACAGGAATTCTTCCTAAATGAAGAACAGGAAACCAACCTAAATAAAGGACAGGAAACCGACCTAAATGACCCTGTAACTATATATGATATTTCAGACTCTTTAACTTTAAATGATAATGATAGTGGCAATTGCAGAACTTTTTACATAATTTAAATATTAATATTTGAAAAATGTTAAAACTTCTATACAATTTAAATTGAATCACTGATTTTAGAAACACCTACAATTTACTCGAGATATTCTTCAAAAAAATAATTATTTTTATATAGGCTTTAAAATCATTCATTTCTTTACTAGGGTGCTAATTTCACAAATAAATGATTGGTAAGTTTATATAAAAATAATTAGGCAATTTAATTAGTTTTCTTCATTTGTGACTTAAGACCCTAATTAGGGTCTTTCTGAAATTAGTGGTACAATTGTTCACTTGCATTGGTTTCACTTCACTTTAATCTTTCTTTAGAGTTGGGCGTTACTTTATTATGGCATAATAAGTTTTATCAGAATTATTTATTTTTATTATTAAGGGGGTGATACACACTAAAGTAAGCAAGTCGGGAAAATGACTTTCGGAAAAGTGACCGGTAATCGTTTTTTATAGGTCGTTAAACAAAAAACAGCAGTGGCATACGAAAAATTACATCAATTTTTATACTTTTTTTATTCAAAAACAGTAGCTTATTGCAAAAGTGATAGAGAAAAAACTTGCTTACTTTAGTGTGTATCACCCCCTTAATAATAAAAATAAATAATTCTGATAAAACTTGATTACCGGTCACTTTTCCGAAAGTCATTTTCCCGACAGACCAATTTCCCGACAGACCATTTTCCCGACACACCATTTTCCCGACAAGATTTTTCCCGACACCATTTTCCCGAAAGTCGTTTTCCCGAAAGTCGTTTTCCCGACAAGCCATTTTCCTGACAAGCCATTTTCCCGACAAGTCATTTTTAAGACAAATAATTTTTACCACAAACGACACAATATATTTTAACAGAGTGACGTCATCCAATGACGCAATCTTAGGACGAGAAGCAGATC